GTTACAACTATCCCCGGTCTCCCTACTGCATCTACTTGCTCTCGCTTAAGCAATAGCAATTCATATTACAAACGTCATCCACGATACATAAAGTATGTCTACAACTGTTGCATTAGGTCCTCCCTGAAAATTTCCAAAAGTCAATAAAATGTAAAAAATCTCAGAAAACTGTTGTTTCATTTGCTTTTTCATTGTTTATGTTTACTCTTCCCTGACTCATTCAGTCCCACTTTACTGCTGGCATTCTTTCAGCTATGTCCAGTATCATGTGGTACAATTAGGAACAACCCTGTCCTGTCAGGTCGTCATCAGAAATTCATATTTTACACATTTGACATTTGAATGCTGTGGGGTCAACTGGGAATGTTCCCAGAAATCTCTAGGCTTGCCGAAATGCCGTTAACTGTCAATTTAGCACATTTGGTGACCAGAAAGCTCCCATCATAGGATATGGTGAGGAGGTGATCAACTCAGTGTCAAACTGGGCACTGATCCCACCCATTACACTGATTATTAAAATGTGTTTCATATTTGTGAATATGTAAGTCCAGTGGCTGAAATGATACGTTTCCATGGTACGACTGTATCTACTGCATTAAACCTTGCTGGTCTATGTGTGCAAACAGACTTTATTTATAATCTGCAAGCATCCTTTGGAGTACGTTCAGCAAAGCGTGTGCATCTGTCTTGGCACTGCAACAGCATGAAGCCAATTATAGCAGTTAAAAGACAGAGGGTTTGTGGCCCGCGGTTGGCATGAAGCGTGCAATAAATAACCGCACTGTCGACAGGAAACTGTTTGGCTACCATCGGAATAATAATGAGGTTATTGCTACCCGCTGCGACCGTATGATCACGGTGTGAACTTTTTTTTTTTTGGTCTTCTCACCTGCTACGTATGCCAACTGCACACAGACAAGAAGGTAAAAGGCTCCCCCAGGTGACCACCTTGGCTTTCTTCCCCGATATTTAAGCCTTTTTTCCCCCCTCTTTTCATTCACCTATAGATACAAGATACATTATGTTATGTTAGGCCCTACAACAAAGAGTGTTGTTCCTTCTAACACATGAGAATGAACACATGCACATGCCAGCAGACGCTCGGAGCAGATACAGAAACAGATACTAAGGGACTGCAAAACACAGACGTACTGTAGGTATACTCTGCTGCTTGCTTCTTTAGCTCTGGTTGGCAGTAGTGTGCTACGGTGACAGACAGTTAGATTGTTCCTGACCATTGACTTGAGCTCTCTGCTTTGCAAGGTCTGATTTCATAGTGGGAAATATGAGATGGGTCCAGGAGAGGGTTCACGGCTGGGGCAAGGAGGCACTCCATACAGTAGGGCTTCATATCTCCGTGTCACCCCGGGCATTCTCCCCTGACACAGCTTTCAGCCACTCCGTTGTCTGAAGCCCCCTCCGTGGGTTTTCGCAACCTCCCTTCCCATGATTGGTGCATTCCAGCTGGGCACAGCGCCTGGGTGGTCCCCCACCTCCCCCTCCTCCCATCCTCTTTGACTGAAGGAAGGAAAAAGTCAGAAAAATGCAGCAAAGGCCTTTGACCAAGAAAAGCACAATGTGAGCGTTGATGATGGCGGCGTGGATGTGATGCTTACCTGCCACTGACCCATACGGCTGTCATAGCCCAGCATTTTACAATCTGACGGTCCATTCAACAGCCAGGAGAAGATGTCTCACTGACCCGTCACCTAGATCGGACTGATAAGCACTGAGGATGGACTGACCCGCCTCTAACCCTCAGCATGAATATCCCGTTTTCATACGGACAAATCACCCCGTGGTTCGTAGCAACACCGTAGCGAACATTCACCGTTTCACGTTTATTATTTTCTGATTATTGTTAATTCGATCGAGACGAACAGCATACACACACATTTGGAGAATAAATACAAATACACACCCAGTCAACTATTTACATGAGTAGATGCAGTTACGCTCTCATAATCTAGCATTCAAACATAATGAGAGTTCAGTGTCATGCACGTACAGGAGAGATTTTAAAGCATAAGAGGCAGGAGTGTAATTGGGTTTGTATAGAGGTGAACATGGTATAGTATTGCATGGTATCACTGTGAGTGTACCCCTGTCCCCTTCTAACATTTTACGTCCACGTACCAAATTACCACATTTCTGAGATAAATTCAGTCTGTCTGAATCTGATAGGCACCCTCACGAGGTGAAGTATGAGTCCTGCATGGAGTAGAGGCGGTCAATAGGAGTGAGTGGCGAGCAGTCGCCAAGAGAGAGGCAGTCACCATCAGCCATATGACACAGCGGGTCTCTGTCCACATCGCCATACAGGCTCTTGAAACCTTTAAAAAGATATAAATTATTATTTTGTATCTCAACTACTATTGGAAGTTTAAACTCATACCAGCAATATCAAAAGTACATTTTTTTCATGTTTGTTTTACAAAAGGCTTAAAATAAGCTGAGGATTGAGATCTTTTACCATAAGGATGCATGTGATCTCCTGGCATCTGAGGCGGGGTCAGGCCCTGTCTGAAGGGGTCCATGTCCCAGTCCTGCTGTTCCAGTGTGGTCATTCCCATCTGCTGCTGCTGCAGTTCAATATGGACATAAGAGGACCCGAGGTGCTTCATCTCAGAGGTCACGCTGCCACTGGAGGGCGCTGTGAAGCACAGGAAACCAAAGGA